CACACACACACACACACACACACACACACACACACACACACACACACACACACACACACACACACACACACACACACACACACACGGAGGTGGCTTAATTGATAGAGCACCCACCTTGGGCAAAAAAGCTAAATTGGAAAGGCCCTGAATTCAAGCCCCAGGACCAGAACACACACGTGCGTTCACACACACACACAAAGGAAAGAAAAGGAAAACAAAGATGACATAATTTGGGACTACTCAACAACCTCAAAATACTTTCTAGTAAAAGTGCTATAGAGACTAGTAGTTCACACCTATAGTCCCAAATACTTGGGTGTCAGAGATCAGGAGGATTGTAGTTCAAAGTCAGACCAGGCAAAAAGATAATAAAGATCCCATCTCAATTAAAGCTGGTCATGATGTTCCCAACCCCTATTACTCCAGCTATGAGGAAGGTAAATAGAATTTCAGCATAAGCCAGCCCAGGCCAAAAAACTTGAGATCTTACTCATAACATGTAACTCAGGCTGGAGGTGTGGCTCAGGTAGAGCACCTGCCTAACAACCTCAAAGGGAGAACCTATCTCAAAATAACTAGTGCCAAAAAAGGACTGGAGGCATTGTTAACAAGTGTAAGAACCTGAGTTTAAACTGCAGTACTGCTAAAAAAAAGGAGGAGAAGGAGGAAGAGGAAGAGGGGGGAAGGAAGGGACTGGAGTTGTAGCTCAGTGGTAGGATGTGCCAATGCCCTGGGCTTTATCTCCCAATACTGAAAAGAAAAAAAAAAACAAAAGAAACCAATTTATTCTGGGAACATATGAATCTAACTACCTAATGCAAAATATGTGAAAATGTGAACTAGCTATTCTGGTTAGTGGAAGTATACTCAATTTAAATTTCCTTCTTCTTATATCTTGTAAATATCAACAGCCAGTATTTTTATAATGAAAGAGGTTTCACTTACGAAATTGTAACTGCTTTTGGTGTTTTCTTGGAGTCAAAACAGAAGATTAAGATGAAGTAAGTCTTCAGAGTCTGTTCTTCCTGGCACTGAGTTACTTAAAATAAAGAAAATAAAAGCAAAAGCAAACAGCTTGCTAAGGTGTGATTTTACACAGAGACAGATGAATGGTAGGTCAGACCGGATCCTCAAAAAGTGTTTTTCTAAGTTGTAGATATGGTGCATATCTTACCAGTTAACCTGGTGGTTTAAACTTAGAAAAATGACTTTAAAGCCTACAAATCAAACACATGGTTCTCCAGAGGCCTAACATGACCCACAGCTAGAATTTAATTCCAAGATTCTCAAATGTTCTTTATTACTGAGCATATGTTATCAGCACAAATTGTATGCACATCTCAATCTCTAAAATGGATGAATGGGGCCTCCCTATCCTCACCTTATTGCATTGCCCCTTCTCCCTGCCCTCTCAGGAGACCTGCAGCCGACTCCTCTTGCTGGAGGGAGTCAGGGAAGAAGATGACATGTGTATTGGTGATCTTCCCCCTCTACCCTTCAAGACACCACAGGACATCAAGTGAAGGAGTTAGTCTATAAGGCCAGTTATAAAGTAGGGCTAAATCCGGTGTGGAGTGACAGGCACAGCCATGCCAGGCCCAGCCTCCACATGCCATAGGCCAGATGCCTCCTTCCTCCTGTAGCTGAAAAGTCTGTGTAAGAGACTATGGGTGGTGACAGTTTTCTTCTTTAGACTCTTTTGTATTTATTTTAAAATTGCTGTAATAAATAGGTTTTTTACTTAATATTTCTCTAATAACTACTCTTAGGACATAAGACATGTTCATTGATAAAATAAAAAGAAATACAGAAAAGCATAGAGTATAAAATCATTTTTAATCCCATTAGGAAAAAAAATGAAATTGTTCTAGGCAGGCTCTTGGCAGGCTCTAAGTAGCAAAGCAGTGTGCAATTCTGCTCTCAGAGGGATTCTAGATTGCTTGGACTCTCTGTATCTGATGGAGGCCAACTTGGCTGGTGATGGTTGTGTTTCCACAGGCCGAAAACATTGTGCTCTTAGAGCTGGACATGCCTAGCCGGACTACCAGAGACTATGAAGGCCCAGCCATTGCTCCCAAGGTCCAGGCTGCACTGGATGCAGCTCTGCAGGATGAAGATGAGATACAAGTGGATGCATCATCCTTTGAAAGCACCACAAATAAGAAATCCAAGGCCAGGTAAGTGGCTTTTGGTGACCTGTTACTTGGGAGTTGAGGCAGGAGGGCCAGTGTTGTAAGCCAGCTTGACCCTCCCTCAAAAAAAAAAAGTCTGGAATACAGTTTAATGTAGAGTGCTTGGTTAGCATATGTGTGATCCTGGTTTGATTCCTCGCGACACACACACACATGGTGCAGTTCTTACTCAGCTACCACACACACACACACACACACACACACACGGTGCAGTTCTTACTCAGCTACCTCTTTTTAAAAACCTAACATAAATGGTGCCGTGACTCGCATAATGAACAGAAAACATTAACAGGAAGCTTCAAGATGGTTCTATGGAAGCCTTGGAAAGCACACAAATTTCTGATATGAGAATATGAGCTTGTGGGTTTCCATCATGTAGTCATTGAAAATGACTTAGGGCCTGGGCACTGTCCCTGAGCTTCTTTTGCTCAAGGCTAACACTATGTCACTTGAGCCTCAGCACCACTTCTGGCTTTTTCTGTTTATGTGGTACTGAGGAATAGAACCCAGGACTTCATGCATGCTAAGCAAGCTTCCCAGCTCAATGAGTCCCTATTTTTTTTTTTTTTTTGTCAGTCGTGAGGCCTGAACTCTGGGCCTGGGCACTGTCCCTCAGCTCTTCAGCTCAAGGCTAGCGCTCTACCACTTGAGCCACAGCACCACTTCAGGCTTTCTCTGCTTATGTGGTGCTGAGGAATCAAATCCAGGGATTCATGCATGCAAGGCAAGCACTCTACCACTGAGCCACCTTCCCAGCCCTGGAGACCCTATATTAAAAACAAAGAAACCCTCTCATTTTAATTATTTTTATTTTTATGAAAACAAATGAGTAGAAACAAACAATGAAAAAATTCTACCCAGAAATAAGTTGCTGGTCCTGGGGCTTGAACTCAGGGCTTAGGTGCTGTCTCAGGTTTTTTTGGCTGAAAGCTAGAGCTCTGTCACTTGAGCCATAGTCCACTTCTGGCTTTTTTGATCCTTAATTGGAGATGAGTCTCATGGACTTGCCTGCTGGGCTGGCTTTGAACCTTGATCCTCAGATCTCAGCCTCCTGAGTAAGCTAGTAGCTAGGATTAAAAATATGAGCCACCAGCACTTGCCACAAGTAAGTTTTTGAGAAAAAGTGTTCCTCTGTTGCCAACGCTTGTCTTAAAGTTCTGCCTCAGCCTCCCAAGTAGCTGGGACTTACAGGTATGTGCCACCATACTGGCTTAATATTTGTTACTGATTGGGAGAGGATAGTCTGGCTTTTTTTTAATATTTTTTTATTGAGATTAAGTGATTATATAAATTTCACAGATTTCACAGTAGTGTGGATAGTAATACTTAGTTAAGTCATAAACACATTTTAACCTTCACAAGGCAGATAGTCTGGCTTTTTTTTTTTTTTTTGTAGGTCGTGGGGCCTGAACTCTGGGCCTGGGCACTGTCCCTCAGCTCTTCAGCTCAAGGCTAGCGCTCTACCACTTGAGCCACAGCGCCACTTCTGGCTTTTTTCTTTTTGCCTATGTGGTGCTCAGGAATCGAACCCAAGGCCTCATGCATGCAAGGCAAGCGCTCTACCACTGAGCCACCTTCCCAGCCCCAACCCAGTCTGGCTTTTAACAGTGAACTTCAGTCTCTCACCTCTGGTCTTGTACCTCTGTTGGCTGGCCTGTTGTTCCCACCCAAGTTTGAAGTTTGGCCAGCTAAGTGGGTTTGTTGTTTCAGGGTATTCTGGCTTTCAGGTCATTGAGGAAAGGCCACCTTCAAATGTTGTTTATGGCACTTAGAGATGTGTAATATCCACATGTGCTTAACTTTTGCAGGCCTAAGAGTGGCAGGAAGTCGGGGTCCTCATCCTCATCCTCAGGAACCCCTGCATCTCAGCTTTATCCACAGTCTCGGGGGCTGGTTCCCAAGTAACACCAGTGCCCCCTCTCCCAGGCTGTGAACAGCATTGCCTTCTGAGAGAAGAGATGAGCACAAAGCTGCAGAGAGGACTTGAGCCCAAACTCAGAACCATTCCCCTGAGGAGAAGTGATGGCCTCTTTGCAGATTAGCCAATTTAATCTGGTGGAATGTGCTGGTCCAAATCTGGCACTCAGCTCCTCTGGGAAACGCCCTTTAAATTGCATCTCAGAAATGCATGGGTAAGGTAAAGTGCAAAGTCTAAGTAGACTGCAAGAGATTGACCATGACCTTGCTTCCTTTCTTCCTTGCCTTCCTCCTTTCCTTTTCCCTCTCCTTTTCTAGCCTATTCTTCACATTCGGCTCCTTTCTTATTAAACCATAGGGTAGAGTCAATGGTCTCTCAGGACCATGTATGGTGGAGCCTCAGTTTAAAATGACAATGAGGTCAAACATGAAAGCCCTGGAACTTGAGTAGGTATCTGTTCTTGTACGGGGAAATGAGAAATCTCATGTGGATCAAAGCCCTAAGGGGGCATGACCAGCAATCTAACTTCTGTGGGCCTCAGGAAGAACTGGATCTGTATTTGGGATCTGCTGAGTGAGGGGATATCTCCCAGTCCCTGATCCCGAAGGGCTTATTGCCAGAAGCAGAAGAAAGAGCATTCATTCCCTTTGCCTCCTTGGAGACTCAAGGGACCAGTTTCTTTAAAATCTCAACACCATGACCATTGTCAGAGACCTGTCTATAAGCTGGTGCCATGTTCATTCACCATGTCACTTTACTCTTCCTTTGTCACCATCTTTCCCTGTGCCTCCATACTCGAGTGTCCTCCAGTAGGTCCACCCTCTGCCTCCAGAGTGTGCTCTGCAGAGGGTCTGTTTTGTAGAAGGGATGCTGACTGACTTCTCTGAATGTGATTAGAGTTGGGAGAAAGCCACATATAGGGACATTTTTGAAGTCCTTGTTTTGTTACATATTGGCAGAACAGAAGGGTAAGTAGGCAGATGCAGAGGTAGAGACAGAGACAGGAGACTCAGAGCTGGGGGTGGGGGAAGACATATAGATGGAAACAAAAGAATGCCAGAATGCTGCCTGCCTTCAGCTTAAAACTCCTAGAACTGTGGCTCTGCCAGGTAAACTGAAGGGGCTCAAAAGGAGAGGCTGGGTAGCTGAATAGGCTCAGAGGAGAGAGTTCACAATTCCCGTTTACATAGACTAGTTGGTTTTGTTTGTAAGTTTTAGTTCTTTGTATTATTGAGATTCGAAACTTTGTTTTATGTTGGTCGTTAAGTGAAAAGTTATTCATTTCTCCCCCAAGAGAAGCTCATAAAAAGGTGTGGGTGTATGAGCACAATGGGGCCCGTTCTCTCTGTCCACAGTGTGTGTGTAAGAGAGACAGAAACCAAGAACTCACCCAGTTGTAGAAATACACTAATGTGCAGTTGTTGCCCATTGAATGACTAATCCAGGCTGGAAAGTGTTTCCACATGGGTGTCTGAGTCCATGAGTCAAGCCTCAGGGGACAGACTGAGTCCCCATGTCTGTCACACTGGTGCACCTTGCTGGCACGGTGCCTCAGGAAGGTGGCAGCTCAGGTGGGCCTTGAGTAACATTTTAACTCAGCTGCTCAGTCCCGAGGACACATTTCTGGATCAGAACCTGTGGGAACCAGGAGGGAGCCAAGTGCAATGTCTGAGCATTCTGCAGAATAGAGATCCGCCTGCTGTCTGTAGTGTATATTTTCCTCAGTAACCATTTCTTCAGACCCCAGGACCCCTAGTCAGCAGTTCCCAGGACATAATGCAACCATCCCTCATCTTTCCTTGGGACCAAACCCGATTTCTTCCTTATGTGTTGAGAATTTGCCTGCTTAAATAGAAACCAAATGATGAGCTGTGTGGCCTCAGACAATTATCTGCTGGTGACATGTGTTCCTCACACCACATTTCTTTACAGCTAGTCTGAAAATGTAGCAAACCTGAGAACTGAAAACTGCAGATAACGCTATACCTTAATACTGATGTTTCAAGGTGGCTCTAGAGACCCAGGGTAGTTAAGTGACATGTAGAACCTTTCCAAGAAGGCACAAGAAGCAGCCAGGCTGACCGGCAAGACCCATACAGCCTTGCTTTGTTCTGCTGTGTTCAGATAGTGGTCCGTGAGGACTCAGTAGAAGGACCTGCCCATGTGGAGCTGAACATGTTTCTTCCCAAGCAGTCTCTGGTGCTTTTCTTCTCTCAAAATGGATCCGACAAATACTTGAGTAGAACAGATGGTAAAACGTCTTGCTGCCACCAGAACGCTGCTGCTTTCGGTTCTGAATTGAGCCTAATGTGTAGCAGGTTTTCATATCTGTAGTCCTGGTAGGATATCCTGCCAGTGGCAGTTAGTGAAGTCTGAAAGAAGTCTTCAGCAGGATAGAAGAAGACCATCTGGGAGAAGGAATTTGAGACTGTGTATGCAACTCTCTTATCAGAATGTATCTAGCTTTATACTTTCAAGTCACACATCTCCCAGACCCCTGGATTCAGAACCCAAGGATGCAGAATCAAGGATCATAGGCATGAAGCACTTTCTAAGGACTGACATAGTTTCGAATTGTTCCCCGTCTCCTGCCTGCATGCTGTTTGAATGCTCCACCCACACCTCCATGACCAAGGGCGCCAGAGTGTTCTACAGCTCAGGCCTGGGCTGCTCTCTGCTTTTCCCGTCTGACTCTTATAAGTCCTCCCTCACTGAATGTAGACTCATTGCCAAGTTCCTGAGAAGTGTCAATTCCCTGTTAACACGGGACATCACTGTACCTCACATTGCCCACTTGAGGTCCAGGTGTATTGTCAACAACCCTGTGGACCACCCTGACATCACCAGTGGATGAGACTGGGGCGATTAATACACTCTAAAAGCCATACTTAAAGTGTTCGGAGAGAACTAGATAAGAATAGGGTGTCTGGCAGTTGTCTTACCATGCAAGGCTCTGTCTTGTATTGTTTCGAAACCTGGCACCTCTCTCCCTGCCCTTCTTTTTTGAATGGAATGCTTCTGAGGTTATTTTGGAAAATAACAATCCTGGGCAGGATCCTGGGCAGGAGGTGGTGGGCTCTATGGCTCCTTGGAGTTACTATTGATCTTGACCTTCTCTTTGGCTACCTTTAGACAAAGAATTTGCCAATACTTGGGGCTCTAAGTTTTACAATTGATATTTATTTGTGTCATCTCTTTGTCTAGGAATGTAAAAGTGATTCTAAACTAAGATGTGTAATAAAAATCAATCAGATTTATTGTACCTACAAAAAAATGTCCTCAAATGAGTAATGCTTTTGAAAATGATGTGCCTGTAGTGACACACTGCCATTTTCTTTAAACATTTTCAATTTTTCTAGTTTAAGGGGAGAGGGAGTAGAGAATCAAGATCAGGTTGCAGGCCCGTGCTGGTGACCCATGCCTGTAATCCTAGCTACTCAGGAGTGTGAGAGCTGAGGATCACTGTTCAAAGCCAGCAGGAGAGTCCATGAGACCTTTATCTCCAATTAACTACCAGAAAACCAGAAGTGGTGCTGTGGCTCAAAGTGGTACAGCGCTAGCCTTGAGCAAAAGAGCTCAGGACAGCACCCAGAATCTGAGTTCAAGATTCTTTTGGCTGACCAAAAAAAAAAAAAGCTGAAAGTAGAGCTGTGGCTCAAGTAGCAAAATGCTAGCCTTCAGCACAAAAGCTCAGGGACAGTGTCAGGCCCTGAGTTCAAGCCCTAGAACAGTGTGCACATGCACATGCACGCCCACACACACAATTGAGTTGCAATGTTGATGTTTAAAAAATAGTGTAATGGGGTTGGGAAGGTGGCTTAGTGCTTGCCTAGCATGCATGAAACCCTGGGTTCAATTCCTCAGTACCACATACACAGAAAAATCCAGAGGTTAGCTGGGTGCTGGTGACTCACGCCTCTAGTCCTAGTTACTCAGAAGGCTGAGATCTGAGGATCATGGTTCAAAGCCAGCCCGGGCAGGAATGTCTGTGAGACTTATCTCCAATAAAACATTAGAAAACTGGAAGTGGCACTGTGGCTCAAGTGGTAGAGCTGAAGAGTTGAGGGACAGTGCCCAGGCCCAGAGTTCAAGCCCCATGACCAACCAAAAAAAAGGAAAAGAAAAGAAAAAGACAAAGGTGGTGCTGTGGCTTAAGTGGTAGATTGCTAGCAAAAGAAGCTCAGGGACAGTGCCCAGGCCCTGAGTTCAAGCCCCAGGACTGGCAAAAAAAAAAACAAAAAATAGTGTAATAAGGGAGAGATAGTACTTGGGATGAGACTTGATAGATTGCTTGCCTATCATGTACAAGGCCATGGCAGAATGTAAGGAAGAGAGGGAGGCATGGGGGAGGGAGCAGTGGAGGAGGAGAGGGAAAGATAAGTGCTTGTATATTTTTCCTTGGAGGTGCCTAAGATACTCAGGCCTGGACAATAAGCATGAAAGTTTCTTTTTGCTATCATGTTTTTAAATACTTCCAAATTTATTATCTGTTATATGTTAATATATATCAATGACTTTCTTTTTTTAAAAACACAAAAGGGTTTTGTGTTGCTTACCACCAGGAAAGAAATACCAGAAATGGGTCACACTGTCATGTGGTTTTTTTCATACTCCTAGGCCTGCTGGGCTGCACCCAGTGGGTCCAGCACCCTTGCTGAAAAGGAGCACTGAGCAGGAGCTCAGATAGTATACTCTGAGCTGGATTTGAATTCTTGCATCACCATTCTACTAGCTCTGTGACTGTGAGAAATTTCATTTATCTCTCTGAACACAGGGGACCTTATCTGTCAAGTTAGGGAGATAATCTCCAACTTGCAGGGATTAGCAATGCATTGAAAGCAACAAGCAGGATGTGCCCTAAAGTCCATTCAGAAATGTGGTTACTGTTGTAATAAGGCCTTGAGTGGAGAAGACACTATAATCAGTTCATATCACAAGAAACTAGAACTCAGTACTGGCCATGCCATCTCTAGAAAACCCTAAAGAAAAGCAGCTAACCACTTAAATAAGTAGTACCTTCTATGTACCAGGCCATTCTGGTTTTTTGTTTTTGTTTTTTTTTGGTCGGTCATGGGGCCTGAACTCGGCCTGGGCGCTGTCCCTCAGCTCTTCAGCTCAAGGCTAGTGCCCTACCACTTGAGCTATAGCACCACTTCTGGCTTTTTCTGCTTATGTGGTGCTGAGGAATCAAACCCAGGGCCTTATGCATGCAAAGCAAGCACTCTACCACTGAGCCACCTTCCCAGCCCTGTGCCAGGCCATTGTTGGCACTGGATGAATAGATGCAGTGTTACCACAATTCCTACCCACATGGAGCTGGCACTTCAAATGAAGTGTCAACCAAATGCACACAGATAGAGAATTATGAATTTGATATGTATCATGAAGAGAATGGTGGAGGCTTGACATAGATGGGGTGGGTATTTCATTTCTCTGATCAAATGTATTCATGGTAAAATTTAGAAGACAGGAATCATCTCGGCAAGAAAAGAGAGATAGGAATTTGTGAAGAGATAGGGAACAGCATTTGTGAAGACCTTGTAGCACAAAGAAGTAACATGGTGCATTTGGCAGCACTAGGAATGAAACCCAGAACTTTACACACATGCCAGTCAAGTGCTCTTCCACTGAGCTGTGCCTCCAGTCCTGCTCTAGAGAGAAAGATATTGCAGGAAAATTATAGACCTTCAAAATATTACCAAGAAATTTGCTCAGCACAAAAGGATAATGGCCTGTGTGACTTAGAGAAACATTTCTTTCTGTTTTTTTTTTTTTGTCGGTCGTGGATCTTGAACCTCTGGGCCTGGGCACTGCCCCTGAGCTCTTTAGCTCAAGCAAGCGCTCTATCACTTGAGCCAAGCACCACTTCCAGTTTTCTGGTGGTTAATTGGAGATAAGAGTCTCACAGACTTGGGCTGGGAAGGTGGCTCAGTGGTAGAGTGCTTGCCTTGCATGCATGAGGCCCTGGGTTCGATTCCTCAGCATCACATAAACAGAAGAAAAAGCCAGCAGTGGCGCTATGGCTCAAGCAGTAGAGTGCTAACCTTGAGCTGAAGAGCTGAGGGTCAGCGCCCAGGCCCAGAGTTCAGGCCTCATGACCGGACCCCAAGAAAAAAAAAAAAAAGAGTCTCACAGACTTGCCTGTCCGGGATGGCTTTGAACCTTGATCCTCAGATCTCAGTAGCTAAGATTACAGGCATGAGCCACCGGTGCCTGGCAAGAAACATTTCTTAGTTGGGTTTCTTCATAGAATATGTTCAAACTGCATACTGTCCCCTTACCCTCTCCAATAGGTTGGCTTAGCTTAAATCATTATTGGTGGAGAATAGTCCTGAATCAGAAGGTAAGAGGTCAAAAGATGATTTGAATTAATTGAGTATTAGAAATACCATAAGTTAGCCAGGCGCTGGTGGCTCATGCCTGTAATCCTAGCTACTAAGAAGGCTGATATCTGAGGATCATGGTTCAATAAACCACCAGAAAACTGGAGGTGGCGCTATGGCTCAAGTGGAAGAGTACTTGCCTTGAGCTGAAGAGCTGAGGGACAGTGCCCAACCCAGAGTTCAAGCCCCATGACCAAAAAAAAAAAAAAAAAGACCGTAAGTCTGGCTTTAGCCCTGGGCTGATTCATGGGACCAGTGCAGAACAGGATACTGGGTAGCTTGGACATTCCTGCCAACTCAGTTGTGTTCTCATATGGATTATTTCTGGGGAAAAAAAATGATGAAATCTTTCAAACTATGTTTTGAACTTTGGGCTTATAATTTCATCTTGGGGCCTGTGATTTTGGAAGGTCCTCTTAGACTATGTTTGCCATCAAACTGAAGTTTGCTTCAAGAATCTGGTCTCCAGGGACCATGTGGTGGTCACATCTGCCACCTGGTTATTGGTGGTATGTGTCAAGGATATAACCGTAACTCTTGCAGCTGCTCCCATTTCATCCTCCGTTTCTATTACTAGCCTCGTGGTTAACCTGTCCTTGTGTGCTTCAGTTATCAGAGCCAACCAGGGACATTAAGATAGAGTGTGGACTGGGTAGAGGGAGAGGCCACATGCCACAGCTCTAGGGACTATGTGGCCCACACATCTGTGTGTCAGGGATCTTCTCTTTGTGCTGGACATAGAGGAACCAAGTGAACAAGCCTATGAAGTGTTGCTGCAAAGTCTGGTGTGCTGGAGTTAAGATGGAATGCAGAGTTGGGAAGGCTCTCCACTCCATGGCACATTTGGAAGACAGAGGGAAAGCCCATGGAGGCTTTTGGTGGTGGGTGGGAAGTGAAGCACAGCCCTGTGTACACTCCAGCATTTCCTCCTAAGCTAATATTTGAGATAACAAAGCAATTCCCTCCACATGCCTACTTTAAGTTTGTCTACTGTTCACACAGGTTTTCTGGGCTTGGCCAGCAAATTCTATTCTGCCAGGAGTTTTCTGTGGCACAGAAGAGCATTCCAGGAGTGTTTCAGCTTGACTCGAAGGTCCTGGTACCCTTGGATTAGACCCAGGCATTCCCAGGGCAGAGATAATATACATTTGGCAGTACTAGGAATGGAACCACAAAGCTAGTCCTTTGCTCAGACTGAGAGCTGAGAATTTAAACTTCTGTTGTTGGTTTGGATGTTTAGGTTCCTAATCCAGGCAAACAAACATAACTTCCATATGCTATTTATGACTCTTGTGTCATGGTCTGTGCATTCTGCCCTTCCCAAACTCCATTCACAAATAAGAAAACTCAAGGTGAGCAGTGCCATTGATGTGGTATAGAACGGGGTTGCCGCTTTCCAGTTCGGGCAACATTCCTTAACCTCCCTGGGGCCTCAGATTCTTCTACTGTCAAAACTGGATCAGAGCAAGTGTGCTATCCGTAGATGATATGAGTCAGACACAGAAAAGCTGGGAACAGTGCCTGGTATGTGGCAAGTACTCCCTGAATGCTAATTGCTGTGATGGTGTTCTCATTACTAGTCATTTAAGGACAGTTAAGGATTCCATCACAGGTGGTGCCTCCCATCTTCAAGGCCAGGGGTGGATTATTTCAGAATCCAGGTGGTTGCAAGGGTAAAGAAAAGACCACTGACCTGACCTGTTTTTAATTTTGTACCTTTTATAGGATCTGTACTTATGGCAAAATTACATGTCCCCTTTAAGCCTCAGGCTGCCATCTGTAAAGTGGAAATAGAAAGCATTATTCATGGAGTTTTGTGGAGAATTTAGTCATCCATTTGTTTATTATAATTTTATTTAGGATATAGTTTTACTACATTGCTCAGGCTGGT